CTGGTGCTCACCTCTACCCAAGGAAGACTGTATTTGGAGACCCCAGGGACCCTGCCTGAGGACAGTTTCTGGCTACAGAAGCAGCCTCTGCCTGCTGTCAAACATACACACCAAGGCCTGAATGTCGCTGGTGGAGTCAGGCCCCCAGGCCCAGGCCGGGGAGAGGAGAGATGGATAGGCACAGCCGGAGGCCGGGGGATCACGACCAGCAGGGGGTGAGCGGAGGCCAGAGCAGACACCACAGCTGTTCTCCACACATCTGCGTAGCACATGTCACTGGACAGACCGTGTTCACTGGGGCTCAGCCCTCTGGGTTAAGCATTGCCCTCTCCCCAGACTTTTTCAAGGAACGGCCACAGCCGGGGGTCCCACTGGGCTGTCAGCAGTCATCCTCCGGGCAGTGTGGGTTTACTTCTCAGGAGGCTTCAGAGCTCCCAAGAAGGTGCAGAGATGTAGCCTGGAGCACATACCTGGAGGCTGGGCAGCGTCCTGAAGATGCACTAGCTTGGAGCAGCTTTCCCCTCTCTGGAGCAAGCCACTCAGGACCAGCACCTTCCGCGGGCTGGCCCATGACACCCCGGTCCTGCTGGCAGAGGGGGAGGAATCTGGGCGTGATCTTCCTGCCAGTGTCCTCCGCACGCATAGCATAGAAGGCCGAGGAACAGACAGAGCCAGCTCCCAAGTGGACATCAGCCCAAGCAAGGGGAGGGCTTTGACCCAAACCAGAACCTCCACGCCAGCTGGCAAACTAAGTCGGGGAGGGGTGTTTCAACAGAAAGCTTGGCCCGGAGCCCTGATAGTCTGTTACTGAGGGACACTGGACTCCTGGCGTCCCGTAAGCCCCCTCGCCTCTCTCTCTGGAGACCCAGCGGGGCAGGACGAGGCTGTCTTTACGGAGCCACTACTCAGAGCTGATTGCTCATCTTTGTCTCGGACTTTCGGTTTCTGCGGGCCAGCCAGTAATTAAAAGCACCAATTAATCTCTGAGACTGAGCCGGGGTTCCCAGGATGTGATGCCAACTGCCTCGGGCTGGCTCACGGAGAGGCCCAGGTCACGGCTGCAGACACACAGGGGACATGCTGTCCCTGGGGCTCAAGGGCCCATGGGGCCCGCCCCCAGTGCCTTTCTCTGAAAGACCATACAAACTGCGGACATGGCCTCCCTTGCTGTCCAAATGAGGGCCAGGCAGGGGGCGGGCAGAGAGACTGGCAGGGCAGTGCAGGGAGTGAGAGCACGATGCCCTCCTCCAAGGCGGCTTGCAGCCCTCAGCAGCCCTTCCTCCCAACTCAGCCTCTCCAGCGCTCACCACACACGTGTGCACATGCACACATACATGCATACACATGGATGCGCACACACGCAGACACGGGCTTCCTGAGCTTCCCTAGGAGCCAAGGGGTGGGAGGGTTGCAGCTCTTCTGCCTAGAAAAGGTTTCCTGGGAACCCTCCGGGCCTGGACCAGCCAGGACTCGAAGGCACATGGGGTGCTTGCCAGCCTATACTTCCTTCTTCATAGGTGCCCTTGGAGCCTCTGCCAGGGGCATAGGTCTAGAATCCTCATTTCCTTCGGCTTTCTGACTCCCCGGGGGCAGGGATATGGTCCACACTTGGCCCATTGGATCACCTCCCTGAGACTGCAAGGGCCACTAGGTGAAGGTAAGGTCATGTGGATTGGGGTGGGTGGGGGTGGGAAGGAAGAGCTAAGCAGGGGAAGCCACGAGGTGGACTGAGAGGAGGTTCAAAGAGCTGTCCCTCAAGTTTTAAATCACTGTAGCTTCACTCTTAGATACCTGTGCTCTCTGCTGCCTCAGGGCCTTTGCACATGTTGCCCCCCAACACCCTCAACCATTGAGGGAATGATCTTTCCTCTTTCTTTTTCTTTTTAAGATTTTATTTATTTATTTGAGAGAGAGAATGAGATAGAGAGAGAGCATGAGAGGGGAGAGGGTCAGAGGGAGAAGCAGACTCCCCGCTGAGCAGGGACCCCCGATGCGGGACTCGATCCCGGGACTCCAGGATCATGACCTGAGCCGAAGGCAGTCGCTTAACCAACTGAGCCACCCAGGCACCCGGTCTTTCCTCTTTCTTCAAGCAGTTGGAAGCTTCAGGTCTCAGCTTAATTTCACCTCCTCAAAACACCCCTTCCCAGACATCCAGACAGACAGACACACACACACACACACACACACACACACACACACACCCTCTGCCGCAGTGAGTGTCTGGACCAAGGTCAGCACTAAGGGAGGAGGAGGCTGGACGGCATGCTGGCAAGTATACAGGCCTTCCAGAAGGCCAGGAGGCTGTGGATCACTTCTGGGTGCCACCCATGTGTCCACAGCCTGCCCTGGGCCAATGAGCTTGCACCTGGATGCTGCCTTGTGGGGAAATGCACACACATGCTCTCAGCCAGCCTGAGTCCAGGCCTGGCAGGATTTGCCCCTTCCTACCCATCCCGTAGGAGTTATGGGCTGCAAATGACAGGCACGGCCCACCAGCACCCCTCCTGATCCCCAGGGCGCTCACTGCAGCCCTGTGGAGCTGAGGGTGGGGCCTAGGACCACACATGCCACACCACTGTGTGACCTGGGTTTGGCACGGGACACCCCCAGCCTGGCAGTCACCTGCCCATGACCCACCATGGGCCAGGGGGGAGCAGGGAGAGGCTGCCTTACCTGATGCCCCCCATGCAGTCTGTACTTCATGTTCCTGGCACAGCAGAGTCCTTCATGCAAAGCCAGACCTGGTGCCCAATGGTACACTGGGTGCAGGGAGGGGTGGGGCCTGTTTTCTGGGTGGGTCCGGGTCTGCCAACCTCAACCCTCCTCCTGCTTGCACTTGCATGGGTCCTCAGGGACCAGTAAAATCGATGGGTGCCCTCAGGAAACCCCCGCTTGGGCCCTCCCTGAGTCCTCCAACTGCCTAGTGGGGACCCCAAGTGGAAGGTGCCACAGACCAGCAGGTAAGGACATTCCCTGGCAGGTGACAGAACCAAGGGAGACCAGCCATAGGACAGGAGACGAGCACAGGCCACTCCCAGAGGCTACACCTCTGCCACCCTGTGCCCCCCCCCCCCAGGGCTGTTCACCTTAGACAGCAACACCTCCCCGCTCCCCCTGGGGACTTTCCCATAAGGCAGAATATCAGGTTCCCTGATGTGGGGCAAGCAGCAGAGCCCCTCTTGTGCCTTGGGGTCCCCTGCAGGTGACAGGAAATCTGGGCTCCTCCCTCTTAGGCCCCGAGGTGTCCCCACAGAGGGGCCGCCATGTTTCGGATGCAAGGCTGCAGGATCCCTGGTCAGCCCCCAGAGCCGCTGAGGTGAAGGCTTCATCCCTACATGGGCAGCCGGGATGGACAGGGCTCCAAGGCCCAAGTGCGAACTAAAGAATCCGCAACCCCAGCGCGGGGGCGGGCCGGGGTGGAGCCAGGAGGCCTGTCCTGGGCAGCGAGGGGCACGGTGGTGGATCCGGGGTTGGTATATGAGCACCCGGGACACGCTTCGGCCGGACCCACCGATTTTGGAGTTTTCTGGTAACAGACCAGCTCCTTCTGCGGCACCGCTCCTTCGCTGTGGCGGCCACTGGCCCAGGTGTCCATGACTCTGAGGAGGGCGCGCGGCTGGGGAATTGGGCGCCCTTGCCTAGGGTCACCCAGGGCGCGCGGGCCACAGCTCCCACTCGGCCACCCGAGGGCCTGTGGCGAAGCTCTGGGCGGCCGGTTCGTCGCCTCCCGGCGGGTTTGGCAAAGAATCTGAGCCGCCCTCGGGGACTGCTAGGCCCAAGGCCAACTCGCGGGGGCGTCCTTGGGCGGGGACTCGGAGCCGCGGTTCGGCCCTAGCCTCCGGAGAAATGTCCCCTCTCCGACCCCGCCGCCCCAAGCCGGGCGGCACAGCCCGCCCCCTTCCCTCCAGGCTGGCGCGCCCACCTCCTCCACTGAGAGCGCCCGGGGCGGCCATCACCTTCGCCGGACCACCCAGGGCTGCCCAGCCGGACGGTCTCAGCGCTCCTAACCCCTCCCCCCAGGTCAGGCCCGGAAGGCCCTAGGCCCCCGCGTCCGGCCACGCCATCCGCCGGGCGGCCCTAGAGACTCCGCAACTAGGGTCAGCCCAGTCCCTGCCCGGCGCTCCCGCCTCCCTCGGTTGCCCGGCTCCTGGGGCCGCTCCCCCGCCTGCGCTCTCCCAGCTCATACCCGGACTGGGCGGGGGACCTGGGATAGCCCAGCTCCGAGCGGCGGCCCTTGGGCGCGCTTTACCTGGACGTGCTCGGCGCGCAAACTCAGGGTGCGCTGGAGGGTCTTGCCCGGCGCGCTGGCCCTGCGGGCGGGGAGCCCGGGTTATGAGGCTACACGGCCGAGCCAACCCTCCCCTGGGCTGCAAGCTGACAGCAGTTGACCCCGGCGCCTCTGGGTTGCGGGCGAGACGTCGGGGCTCAGGACCCGCTGTGGGGGGAGGCTCTGGAGGACCCGTCTCCACGCGGAGCGGGCTTCCCTGGGCTGGGCGACCGGGCCAAAGGCGGGACCCACAGGAGCCGCGACGCACCCCGCAGAGACACCCCGGAGCGCCCCGCCGTCCCGAGTCCCCGACCCCCTTCCCTCCCCGCCCCGACTGGAAAAGCGGCCCCCGGCGCGATACGGCGCCGGGCGGGGCGCGCGGGGGCGCAGAGAGAACCGCTGCACTTTCTTCGGGTGGGGGAGGGGCGGGCGGCCAAGCTCCGCCCCCGGGAGCAGCGGGGCGCGCGCAGGCCAATGGGGAGCCGGGCAGGGGGCGGGGCCTAGAGGCTGCAGCTTAAAGAAACTTGTTGCGGGTTCTCCGCCGGGAGGGAGCTTCGGCGGCGGCAGCGGAGCGGGAGGCCCTGGGTCGGGCTGCGGCGGCGGCGGCGGCGGCGGCGGCGGGGACGCAGGTCGGGCTACAGCGCAGCGACCTCGGGTCCCAGAGCGGCCGCGGCGCAGCTGAGCAGCGGCCCCGCGGGTCCCGGTGCGCGCCCCTCCGCGCGCGGCCCCGATGCTGGACATGAGCGAGGCCCGCGCCCAGCCGCCCTGCAGCCCGTCCGGCACCGCCAGCTCCATGTCGCACGTGGAGGACTCGGACTCGGACGCGCCGCCGTCGCCTGCCGGTTCCGAGGGTCTGGGCCGCGCGGCGGGCGCGGGGGGCGGCGGCCGGGGCGACGCGGCCGAGGCGGCGGACGAACGCTTCCCGGCCTGCATCCGCGACGCCGTGTCGCAGGTGCTCAAGGGCTATGACTGGAGCCTGGTGCCCATGCCGGTGCGCGGGGGCGGCGGCGGCGCGCTGAAGGCCAAGCCTCACGTGAAGCGGCCCATGAACGCCTTCATGGTGTGGGCGCAGGCGGCACGCCGCAAGCTAGCCGATCAGTACCCGCACCTGCACAACGCTGAGCTCAGCAAGACGCTGGGCAAGTTGTGGCGGTGAGTGCGCTGTCCCCGGGCCAGGGGCAGGGACGGGGCCCCAGCGCGGGCGGGCTTCGAGTGGTTCTCGGGGGTACGCGGGGGCCTGGGAGGTGGCCCCGCGCCCGGCCTCGGCTCTGCTCCCAGTGGTTATTCCCAGGGCGAGTCCTAGTGGAAAGCCCCCCCCGCTTTGACCCGGGAGACTGCACCCGGGATGTTCAGGTGGTCTGGGCCACAGAGGGCTGCGCAGGGAGTATGCAACTCCGAGCACACTCCCTCAGTCGCCAACAGCCCGCTGAAGGCTGTGGCTGGCATGCTGAGGACGGGGACCTGTGAGTGGCCCCAGAGTCTGGAGGCCTGTCCCTCCCCGAGGAAAGGTGGCTTCTGTCTGGAAGCAGGACACAGTATCAGGCAATGTGGTGCTCTCTGGAGGTGCCCCTCTTTGGAAAGGACTCCCCTCCACTCTGACCATGTGGGGGAAGTCAGGGCAGATGGAGGGGGTGCGTGTCTGTTCAGCTGGCACATTCCCCACAACTTCTGCCACCTCTGCGCCCCTCTGCAGAGGACGAGGGATGCAGGAGGGGTCCAGTACAGGCATGCTTTGTGCATACTTGGACATAGAGAAACTGGACGTTTTTGCAGAAAGTAGGACTGCTAAGAACTGCCCATCCCCACCAAATGTGTTCTACTTGGGTTTAAGATGGACGGCTTTGGGTTTGGGGCACTGGCTCCCATTTCCTGCTCCTCTCCCCATGAGTGGGCACTGGGAGTTTGCACGTCTGTCCTCTGTGTTCCTGTCTCTGTCTGCTCTGGGCACAGTGGACTCCGGCAGCCCTGTGCTCTATGTCCTAGGCAGTTGGAGGTGAGTTTCTGGAAGGGTTTGAGAGGCCGGTGTGTGTTCTGAGGCTCAGTGAGGGCCACACGGGTTTTGCCAGCGTTCCTGGAGGTCTGGGAAGCCCAGATATCCATGGAATACCTGCTCGTCCCCAGGAAGCCTCGCTTTGTCCCCAGTGTGTTCTCTGCTGGGTTCTGCCTCCTCCCCCACCTGCCTTAGAAAGCCCCAAAGGGAGGGGATTTACACAGGCTCTGGGAGAAGGAAAGTAAGAGGATGATGGAGATGGAAAGGTTTGGGTCTTGTTCTAGCATGTTCCTTTGACCCTAATGAGAACAGACCTCACCAGAAGTCCTTGCTGGCCTGAGCGCCCCCGTCCCCAGAGAGGGGAGCGCTTGCCTGGTGCCCGCTGAGTTGTGGGAGCACATGCAGGCCTCCCTGTGAGTGTCAGGGTCAGTGAGGCCCTCCTCCAGGGGCGGCACGGGGGCCCTGGCCATCCTGCTTCTGCCCTTGGTGCTGCAGCTTGCTGAGCGAGAGTGAGAAGCGCCCCTTCGTGGAGGAGGCTGAGCGGCTGCGGGTCCAGCACAAGAAGGACCACCCGGATTACAAGTACCAGCCACGTCGCAGGAAGAGCGTGAAAACAGGCCAAGGCGACTCTGACTCCGGAGCCGAGCTGGGCCCCCACCCCGGCAGTGCCGTGTACAAGGCCGATGCGGGCCTTGGTGACCCTCACCACCACAGCGACCACACAGGTGGGCTCCTGGGGCCCCACAGCACGTGCCTGCCCCAGCAGGAGAAGTGGGGGTTCCGGCGCCCGCTGAGATGAGTAGTGGGGGTGGGGAGTGGGGGCTCATGCCCAGGGCAGGTGGCTTTGAGACAATCACGTGTTCCCTGGTGCACATGGGAAGGGAGGGGTTCTGCTTAGCCCCCTCTGAGCACTGAGGGTCTCTCAGCTTTGCCTCGGTCCGGTGCTAGGTGACGTGGGTGTGTTCTGCCCTGCCTGAGGGCGTTTCTGCTTCCCCTGGTCCTTCTGCTGGTGCTGACCCAGCACTCCTGCCCCTGGCATGGTGGTCAGCAGCCCAGCTTTAGGATCAGACGGATTGGGGGAGAATCCCGGCCAGCCGAGCAGTCTCAGTCAAGCTGGCGAAAGCTGTGAGCCTTGGAGAGAATACGTTTTGTGTGGGTCGCGCTGTGGTCATGTGCAGGGGGCTGGGCACTTCCTCTCCTTTCCCCCACCTTGGTCTTCACGGTGGGGCCTCCATGGCCCCAGCTCTTCCTGTAGAACAGCGCTTAATGGAATTCCCTCGGCCAAGGAGTGAGGTCTGGGTCTGGCTCTGCTGGAATTTCTGGGAAACGTACAGAAACAAAAAGCCGTTGATTTCTACCTGCGGCAGTTAGCGGGCTGGTGTTCCTCCTGGGTGCACGTCGCCAGCCTGGCTGGCCCCCCACAGAAGGGGCATTCATTCCTGAAATGTGCTCTGTCCCCAGGGCAGACCCACGGGCCACCCACCCCACCCACCACCCCCAAGACAGACCTGCACCATGGGGGCAAGCCGGAGCTGAAGCTGGAAGGCCGCCGCCTGGCGGACAGTGGGCGCCAAAACATCGACTTCAGCAACGTGGACATCTCAGAGCTGAGCAGTGAGGTCATCGGAAACATGGACACCTTCGATGTACACGAGTTCGACCAGTACCTGCCCCTCAACGGCCACTCGGCCCTGCCCGCGGAGCCGGGCCAGCCCGCCGCCGGCTCCTATGGGGCTGCCTCCTACTCACACTCGGGGGCGGCCAGCATCGGGGCGTCCCCCGTGTGGGCCCACAAGGGAGCCCCGTCGGCCTCCGCGTCGCCCACCGAGGCGGGCCCCCCGCGGCCGCACATCAAGACGGAGCAGCTGAGCCCCAGCCACTACGGCGACCAGTCACACGGTTCTCCGGGCCGTGCCGACTACGGCTCCTACGGCGGCCAGGCCAGCGTCACCACGGCCGCCCCCGCCGCGGCGGCCAGCTCCCTCACCAGCTCGCAGTGCGACTACACCGACCTGCAGGCCCCCGGCTACTACAGCCCATACCCGGGCTTCCCGTCCAGCCTTTACCAGTGTTCCTACTTCCACCCTTCTCGTCGGCCCTACGCCTCGCCCCTGCTCAGCGGCCTCTCCGTGCCGCCTGCCCACAGCCCACCCGGCAACTGGGACCAGCCCGTGTACACTACCCTGACCAGGCCCTGAGGGCACCGTGGCCTGGGGAGGGGGCCGGCGTAAGCCAGGGAGAACCTTGATCTCGGCCAAGACAGACGGAGCCTCAGGTCTTGCAGAAGGGGTGCGCTAGTGGAAGGAGAGGAGGCGGCGGCTCTGGCAGGTGCCTGCTGACCTGTGCAGGGGGAATCACTCTTGGTACCCGACGCACCGTGGCTTCCAGATCTCCACACTCCCTGCGGCCAGCAAAGCCCGCTTCCCGCACCCTCTTAGCGGCAACTGGCAACTCTGGAACCGAGGACAGCCTTCCGGCCCCTTCCCTGCAGACACCTTGGTTTTGCACCTCAGTGGACACAAAGCAGCCCCAGCACAAAACAGAAAGGAGGGAAGAGGCATGGGGTGTCCGGCCGCCTGTGCTCCGAGGTCCCTGCTGGCCTTGTCGTGCGCGGAGAACTCTGGGGGACCCACGGGGGTTGTTCCCGCGGTTCAGCGGTATCCACACCCTGGCGGGAGCTCGTCTGCAGGAGCCCCTCTGGGGACCAGCCCATCCGCTCCGAGGTGCTCCCCGCTGTTTAAGGCTCTTCCTAGCAAGGTTTGGCTGCGACTAACCCTTCTCTCTTTTTATTTTATTATTTTTTTTAATTTTTATTTTTGAAGCTTAAACACGTTCGATTTGTTTGGGAAGCTGTTGAAATGTATTTATGTTCTGTATTATTTTATCTTTAATTAATGAAGTAATTTGTGCAGAGAGTAGAATTTAAGACAAAACGGAGGCCAGGTTGCTGAGCGCCAGGGCTGGGAGGACAGGTGGTGGGGTGGGACCCCCCCCTCCCCTCCCCTCCCCTCCCCTCCCCTCCCCTCGCCTCCCCCGGAGCTCCAGGCCCCTGGGGAGGTGGCCAGGACGGGAGGGAGGAGAAGAGATTTGCCTTGTAGTGTCTCTGACCAGCGTTTGGGGCGAGGTTTGGAAGGCAGGGGTGTTGCTGGAGGCCGTCCCCGCCCACAGCTGTGCCAAGCAGTGGACGGGGATTTCCTGGGACGGGGTGGCTGCAGCAGCACGTTAATCTCGGCTCTTAGGAACCAGACGCCACCTACAAGCTGTGAAACTAAAACCTTCTCCACTACAGTGTCTAGAGTCTTAGTTTTAGATGAATAATCCTGATCGACGCGTACCTGCTTCCGCTGTGTGCTGAGCACTGATAACTCCAACTTCATGGAAACTTGTGCCTTTAAACTTTGTACATTTAAAGACGTCCGAGAAGTTGCTTCTTTTTACTTTTTCTACTTTTTTCCTACCTTTTTCTAGAAAAGAAAAAAATTTTTTTTTGGCATATCTTTTTCTGGGGGTGGGGACAGGGAATACAGCAAACTCATTTTTACGCCAACTCTGTTGTTCTGCGTGGGGTCTGGTCTTCCGCCGTCACTACCTGCTGTGTTCTGCTCCTTTCTGACCAAGCAACGCTAACTTTTGTACAGACCAGTTTGATAAAATTAAAAAAAAAAGTGCTTTTTATCTACTTGGGCTGTGTTTTGTGTGTTGCTTTCTGTACGCCTGGGGTCTCATTTGGGAAGGTGTCGGCCGAGGCAGGAGTGGGGTTCACCCCGGGCTCTCCTCAGAGGATGTGGGCACCCGGAGCCCACGAGGACAGAGCTGGCGCCCCAGCCTTACAGGGACTGGGTCTGCATTTGAGCAAATCTCAGAGGCCCCAAGACACCAGACTCTTCTTTCCCCCCAGGGCCTATTCAGTAGGCAAAATGGGTCCAAATCCCGGGACATGGTTTCCTCCCAGGCAAATCCCGGAGCCGATTTCTGGGTGACTGGCGGCATTTTTCGGGCGCTGGCGCAGAGCCAAGCTGGGAACCGGGTGAATGCCGCCCTCCAGGCACCAGGCGGGGTTGTCTGGTCGGCGGACTGTTTCTAGGGAGAAATGCTTGCGAGGAGCACCAGCAAGCAAGGGGCAGCCTCACGCCCTGGTGGGGCCTCCCCGGCACACGCAGCTGGCTTAGGGGCCTCACCCGGCTGGGCGCACCCACCACTGAGCCCTGGAGATGCATCTGGGGCATCTGTGTCTGGGGCCGAGAGGAAGATCGGGCTTCTCATGAGAACCCAGATCCTCGAAGCAACTGGCTCTGTGATTCTAATGGGGTGGCCCGGGTAGGGGGGCACCCGCCCCGTCCCCTTGTCTGCCAGCCGCCTGCGTGGCTGCGATCCAGGGCGCGTACCTCACCCCGCGCTGGAGAGCCGTGTCCTGGGCTTGCCAAGAGTAGTGTTGGGGAAGAGCGGCCCGGATTTACGAGGGTTCGTGAGGTCTGGGGCGTGCCAAGCCTCCCGGGTGAGGCCGGTTCTGGGAGGGGGCTGCAAGCCAGGCTCAGGGAGGCCTGTGTGGAGCCAGTCCAGCATGTCCTGTGTCCAGCCAAGGGCTGTCCAGGTCCATATGGCCCTCCAGGCTCTCACACTGACACCCCAAAGCAAGGAAACCCCCTGCATCCGGCTCCCTGACAGAGGGAGCGAGGCCGCCCCTTTGCGGCTCCGGGATCGATCAGGCCTTGCCAGGTTCCCCGGGGGCGGGAGGCTCTGCCAGTTTTGTTTGCACTTGGAGGGGCTCCTGCGTGTTAACTCCCAGGGGCCCAGCCATTCTTCCCGCCAAGCTGACTCGTCCGAAGGCCCCGACGGCCCTGGGTCCCAGCCCCGGCAAGCCTCGGGTGGGTTTCCTCCCTCTGAGCTCATGGGGAGGGCAAGGACAGCCACCACCGTTTTGGCAAGTCCAGGCCTCTGCTGGGGCCAAGGCCACGGAGATGCGATGCCCCCCGACCCCTGCTCTCGGGGGACCAGGCTGCTGGCCTCCCTGTCGGAACATTCTCAGGCTTTGGAGTCATGAGGTCTCTGCTTCCCAAATGCAGGGTCCCCAGTGATGTTGTGAGGAGGTGGCCGAGGCAGGTCCCTGGGTGGGGGGGGGGGGGTCAGGGCAGCTGGGAGGGGTCTCAGGGGCTGCCCTGGGCCTCAGGCTTATGAGGGCTCTTCCACTGAGCTCCCAGCAGACGTTATTCACAAGGCTGGCCTCTCCCCACTTTGCCTGAGTCCAAGGGGGCAATTGCCCCAGCTTGTCCAGAGCTCCATTCTCCCGAGAGCGTTCCAACGGCCCGTCCTGGGGACGAGCGGGTGGGAAAAGTTCCTCATTTTTCATTTCCTTCCCCAGAGCAGAGTGCACTGCCTCTGATCTCTGCTGAACAGAACGCCCTATTCAGAGACAAAGGGGAAACAGCGTTGATGACCCAGACCCTGCTCTGGCAGATTGGGAAAGCCCCTCCTGGTCCTTCCGGGGATGATATCCGCTTTCAGGAGCGCATTTTGTTTGGATGTGAGTTCACGGGTGGTGTGGTTGCCGTCAGCTCCGGGGAGGGACCGTGTCCTCCGAGCAGTGCAGAGAGGGTGGGAGGCCTGTGCCCAGCTCATCAGGCCTGTCCTGGGGGCAGACCCCACCCCCACCCTGCCTGTTTCGACTTTTGGCCGCATTTGGGGGACAGCACCCAGGGCCGGTGTCCTAGACCCAGGGACGTGGCCTGCTGTGTGGACACCAATGCATCCTCCCCCATGTCTGGCCCAGGGCCTCCAGGCCGGCCCTGGACAGAGGATCTTCAGGACCTCACCTCCGGCTGACCAGGTCTGCAGGGGCTGTGGGCCACACATCGGGGCTGGTGTGACATGTTTGTGGGTGGTGACTGACAGCCCCTGGACACTAGACAAGTCCTCACCACCCTGTGTGGACAGCCTCCTGGAACACATTCCACCAGGCGTCCGGGAAAACCCATGTAGGCCAGGACCCGGTCTCAGGGTCATGGAGCCAGTGGGGCGAGACCCCTACTCCTACCTCCACGGCCAGTGTAGACCCCAAGGCAAGGGAGATGGAGCTGCTGCCACCAGGCCCGCGGGGCCCAGGATCGTTCCCAAGGGGAGGAGACATGTAACTGCAACCCTGGGCCTGGGCGTCTTCTCCTCCCTGCTGGCCTCAGCCCTGCTGTCCTTCAGGCCCCTGCTCCCCCCAGCCTGCCCTGCAGCCCCAGCCCAGTCCTGAGGACACTTTGGTGGCCGAGCTGACCACTGCAGGCAAGGGGGATGGCATGCCTGGGAGCTGCAGGGACCCACCCCGGTCCCTGTACTACCTCCCCAGGAAGAGGAAGTCGGGAAGAAGAAGAGCATCATGGTTCTGTCAGTGTTTCAGAGACCTCACGTCCTAACACCTCCTGCTTTTGTGTCTGACTCCGGGCCAGAGCCTGCCTGCTTGTGGGATCCCTGTATCCTGGAGGGAGCAGATGTGCAGACCCCCTGCCCCGTCAATGGGCTGTGGAGGCCCGGGGCTCCCCGGGGGCCACGGGAGCCTTCCAAGGAGACAAGCTGAGAAGGGAAGGAGCTAAAGGGGGAGACACACGGGGGATGTGGCCCTGCCCTCCTGTGAGGACCCTCCTGGTGCTGAGAGTCCCTCATGGCCACCCCCAGGAGGAGTGGAAGCTGGACTCCGAGGGGCTCTCCACCTCCTGCCTTCCCTGTGGGCTCCCCATGCAGCCTCAGCTTTCCCAACAGTAAGATGGGAATGAGCACGCCCCCGGGGTGCTGGGGGCCTCAGTGAGATTAGGGCCCCGCTGCGACCCGGCGCCCTGCTCCGATCCCCGAGAGCAACTGTTGGCACACTACCACCTCTGATCACATGACACTTCTTTCTGCTCATCTGCACAGTAAGGTGGGTTTGTCAGTAAGAAAATTAAAAGTAGACCAGGCAGAGAATGTGCATTCCGAAGCCTGGGGGAATGAGGGGGCACCTCTCCTGGCCTCTGCCTCTGGGACCCCTCTTACCCCTGTAAGACACCATGGGGGTGTCTTACAACCCCTGCCCACCCCCCACCCCACCCACCCCCCGTAGGAAGGCGGGTCGGGCCAGGGGTCCGAAGCTATGCCCCTTGCCAGGGATCTCTGTGTGCCTGTTTCCTCCCATGACCGTGGGGCAGTGACGGCCTCACTGAGGTGCTCTGAGGAGTGACCT